GGGTTGAGAAACAGTGTTTAGAATGCTTTTTACTATTAGTATAGTTATCTACCTCAAAGGCACCCTTAAGCAATAAAGGTTTGGCTTGGTGGTCTTTCCCTGGACAACAGTCTAATTCAGTGATGGCGAACCTATGGCATGTGTGCCGGAAGTGGCACGCAGGACCATCCCTCCGGGCATGCCAGCCGTCGCCTGTTGCTCTTCCGGTTTCTGGCACATGCATACATGCTGGCCAGCTGGTCTTCGCGTGTGCATGCCTGCCAGAAACCGGAAGACGAGGTGACCGGTGCGCTTGTACATGGCGGAAACTGGAAGCTGAGCTTCCTGGCGTGCGCATGCGCGCCAGGGAACTGCTCTTCCGGTTTCTGGCGCTCACGCACATGTGCACCAAGGAGCTGCTCTTCCGGTTTCCCGCGTTCCCGGCACTCGGTGCCGAAAAGGTTCGCCAACACTGGTCTAATTTATATCATGGCTTAGATCAGGGGTGTCAAACTCAAGGCCCACGGGCCGGATCTGTGGGGGACTGGCCATGTGGCCCACCCGAGCTCTGGAGGCCGTCACAGGCGCCCCCAGAGGGCTTGGGCCGCCATAGGCGCCCCCAATGTGAGTGACATTGAGCTGGCCACACCCATTCTCCCCCCCCCTTGAGGTCAAGCACAACCCTGATGCAGCCCTCAATGAAATAAGAGTTTGACACCCCTGGCTTAGATGGTTCATTAACCCCATATAGGTTTTTCGGCTTCCCCACGTTTCAGTCTCTGGGAACAATCTCTGGTTTAAAATCTGGGCAAAAGGGAACCATTCATGAGTAACTGTTTTCCAACAAAGGGCTCCGGTCCCAGATGGATTGCTCCTACATCTGAAGATTATCTGGTTTTCCTTCTTTAGTTGGAATTCGGTGTTGTCAGCCATCCCGGTACAATTAATTTATTTTATAGGCAGTAAGCACAACTCTGTTTTTCTGATTTTTCACACTATAAACATGCAGCGCTCCCCGCTGTACGAGACTTTATTTGTTTTGGGGTGAAGCCTCCAAACTAACGGAGCAAAAGGCTGAGTGCATGATCGCACCACTGTGAAATGTGTATTTGCATTTTCAATCTAGTAATTCACACTTGCAAACAATGAAATTACCTTCCACTGCCGCTAAAGAAAGCAGTGTTATTATTATTACTGTTCATGCATATATGAGCTTTGCATTACCACACACACACACACACAAACATACGGGAACGGAAAGGTATAAACTAGAATTTAAAATTGGACAGTTGTCTTCACATGCATTGTAGACATCAACAGCACTGGCTATACATCTCACAATTGTATCGTGAAGCAAAAACCAGTGCATGGTTAGCAACCAGCATCATTTAGCATCGCCGATTTTTATTTTTAATTTAAGGTCTCCCTGGCGAGCAGCTGTGTTAGTCTGCTGAAAACACAACAGCCATATTCAAATGACACCTGAGTCACTGTTCGGAGTTGCTGAAAACAGTGGTTTGTTTCAAACACCATTACACAAAGTTTCCTGGGTTGGCTAAAACAAGGAACTGTAGTTAATGAAAGACTTCATGAAGATCTGGTTTTATTATTGGATAGTTCACCAAAGAGAGAGGCAGGGAGGAAGGGGAGAGGGGAAGGAGAGAGAGAGAGAGAGAGAGAGGAAGGGAGGTAGGGAGAAATAGAGAGAAATGAGAGGGGGGAGGAGAGAGAGAGAGGAAAGGAGGGAGAGAGAGAGAGGAGAGAGGGGGGAATGAGAGGAGAGGACAGAGAGGTGGTGGGAGGGAGGGAGAGAGAGAGAGGAGGGAGAGGAGAGAGAGAGGGAGAGAGGGAAAGAGAGAGAGGAGGGAGGCGAGAGAGAGGAAGAGAGGGAGTGGGAGGAAGAGGGAAGAGAGAGAAGAGAGGGAGAGAGAGAGAGGAAGGGAGGGAGAGGAGAGGAGGGAATGAGAGGAAAGGACAGAGAGGTGGTGGTGGGAGGGAGGGAGAGAGAGAGAGGAGGGAGAGGGGGAGGAGAGAGAGAGACGAAGACAGGGAGTGAGAGGAAGAGAGTGAGAGAGGAGAGAGGGAGAGAGAGGAAGGGAGGGAGAGAGGGAGAGGGAGGAAGACAGAAAGGAGAGAGGGGGGAGAGAGAGGAAGGGAGGGAGGAAGAGAGAGAGAGAGGACAGAGGGAGGGGGGAGAGAGAGGAGAAGACAGAGAGGTGGCAGGAGGTAGAGAGGGAGGAGGGGAGGGAGGGAGGGAGGAAGAGAGAGAGAGAGAGAGAGAGAGAGAGAGAGAGAGAGAGAGAGAGAGAGAGAGAGAGAGAGAGAGGAGGGAATTGGATTAAAATATTTGTCTGCTTAAAGAAAAGGTTCTTTAAAAACAATTAAGGGCTTGTTTTTTTAAACTAAAAAAAAATGGTGGCATTTAAATTAGACCTATTAAAAATAAATCCCACAAAGAAAATACAAAGCGCACATTGGTTAGTAGGCAGTATTTTATTTGAAGTGCGGTGTTTTATGTATATATGTATATGTATACATATATGTGTGTGTGTGTGTGTGTCTGTATTTCTCTCTGTGTGTGTGTTTTACAGAGGAAAGGCAACAACACTTCAGATTTCAAGATTTCACTCTCTGTGGCAGATGGCAGGAGGGAAAAAACACCCTAAACTGGGTCCTATTATAGCCAGTTCCTGGACATTACATCCCTTGGTATCTCCCTGAAGGGGGGTGAGGTTGCATCTATGCACCAAGCCGAAGAAAGGAGCAAAATCCGCACTCAAACTGCAGGTGGAGGAGCGTCTCTTTGAAGGCCCCCATGCATTCAAACAAAACGCTTCCTTGCACACAGCAATGCAGTCCTATAGGCAGGAATTGTGTAATTCAGCCTCTTCCTCTTGTCTACTTTTTTATATTTGCTTTTTTTTTTTAAAAAAGAGGATGCGTTTGTATTGCAGAGTTTCTTTAAAAGGCATGCGTTCCCCACATCTGTAACGTGAATTGGTACAGTCCGCTGTACCGTCTATGAGTACGGCTCAATGGGATGTGTAGAGGGACAATAGGATGGTCTGAATCATTGAACTGAGAAACTTCTCCTTTTAGCTAACACCACTGTGAAGTTCTGCATCAGGGCTTAGCTGTAGAGATTTCGATCTCCTAAAGTGTCCTGTCATCCGTCTTTGGGGCTGAGCAAGGCTTAGTAAATCCACATCGGCGTGGTACAAAATGAAACAAAATTTCACAACATACAGGCAGACTTAACCCTAGTTTCAAATGGGAAGCTGTGAGCATCCTCGACCAAGCCATGTCCAAAAAAATCAGAATTCCTGGAAGCCTGGCACTCAGACAAATTGGCCATCAACAGGCACACAAAATAAACAACATCTACACGCCATTCAAAAGAGATAATCAAAAATGGAAAGAAAAAGACCCAAAGGGCCACCATCAATGAGCTGTTGGACAGCATTACTTGGTCTGTCGTGTGGATGTTTGGGTGGTTCAGGGGTGGGGAATTTTTGGTGGGTGGGGGTGTGTTTGGAGATTGTTATGTGTGTTGGGCCTGGACTTTGGGTGTTACGTGAATTGTATGGGTATACTGTATATATACATACAATGACAATAAAGTTATACTACTCCATGTTTTGGTGCTCAACAATTGCCAAATCCTTTAGAGAAACCTATGCAAATTCAAATGAAGGGTGGCAAAATTGGAACCTAGGAGATAACATCTCTGGTTTCTTTTTATGGGCACGAACACTGCGCTTCTATCAATCTGTGCACATTAATATGCCAACTTTATTATACAACTAAAGAAGAAATGAGAAGGCGTCTATTTGAAAAGTAGTCATGAACAGTAGGCTCAGTATACAAAATTGGAGCCCATAAAGCTATTTGGCCATAAAATCAAGCTTCATCAGTAGTAACTACATAAAGGCAGCAGCGAATAATGGATTGAAGTTGCGTTGTTTTCTTTCAGATGTTTCATGACCCAACTAGGTAACATCATCAAGTCTAGAAGGGAGTGGGGTTTATGGAGAGGAGGAGGAGGAGGAGGAGGAGGAGGAGGAGGAGGAGGAGGAGGAGGAGGAGAATGACTCTGGGATCCTTGGTGCTCTCTGTTTGGTTGTTTTCTTGCAGACATTTCATGACCCAACTAGGTAACATTATCAGAGCTAGAAGGGAGTGGGATTTATGGAAAGGAGGAGGAGAAGGAGGAGGAGGAGGAAGAAAAGAACTATGGGATCCCTGATGCTCTCTCAGCTTGGTTGTTTTCTTTCAGACGTTTTATGACTCAACTAGGTAACATCATCAGTTACCTCTCTACTTACCTACAACAACTTCAATTTGCGAACCTGAATCCCTTTTAACACTGGTGGTGCTACCTAGTTGTGTAATGAAAGGTTCCTTATACATATTATTGTGGTTCTCCAGGCTCAATCAGATCAATATCCTCACAAGAGTCCAGAAATGGAGTCTGACTTGTGGCACTTGAATTCTGTGAGGTTGTTTTGGGGGGCGGAGAGTTCGCTGGATGTTTTTTTTTTGGAAAGTTTTTGACTGATGGTTTGGAACGATGCATCCCACAAAGATTAATAACGTGGATGGTTTGGCTGAGGTCAATTTGCTGAAATACGAGGTAAAATGTCTACAGAAAACCTGACCTTGGTGTTAATCTTTCCAACCATGAAGGACCCCAATAAAAACCATGAAGTTTGAAATATTTCATCGTTTATTTCAGGGGTCGTCAAATTTGGCAACTTTTGGACTTCAACTCCCAGAATTCCCCAGTTGGCATGGCTGGCTGAAGAATTCTGGGAGTTGAAGTCCACACGTCTTAAAGTTGTCAACTTTGGAGAACCCCTGATCTATTTTATAACCCCTGATCTATTTTATAGCACTCACAGAAAACCAATGATTTAAAGAACTAAACAGAATTGTTTGTCACAGAATTATTTTTTATAAAAGGGAGGGGGGGGCAGAATCCAGAAGTTGAGAGAACAGAAAACGGTTGTGCCTCTTTCTACTCACCGGATTTTTCTTCCTTTACTGGCCTTGGTGTCCACTTTCTTCCGAATTTTACTCCTCAATTTCTGGATAGCCAGCCATTGTCTATGGAAACAGAATGACAGGGTGGCATTCGGGCTGCACGGTGAAGAAAGGGCCTTCTATCTCCTTCTCAAAAGTGATGGAATCAACAATTGCAATCCAGTCAGCTGCTGCCTCCATCTTCTGAGGCGCCTTCGCGGTATAGGTAGTCCTTAATTTATGACCGCTTCAAATTTATGACGGATCTCCCTTGGGGATACTTAACAATCCAGTTCCAAAGTTCTGACAGTTACTTGTCCCCCCCATGGTCATGTGACCGCAGGTGGGTTGCTTGGCAATGAACGTGCGTTTGCGGCCATTTTCAGCGGCCCATGGTCACGTGACTATATTTTATGATGGTTTTGTTAAAAACTGGCATTTAGTTTCTGGTTTTTCGGTGTAACGGCTGACAGCGAACAATGGATTCACTTTAGGACAGTGGCATTCATTTAACACGTCGCAAAAAAGATGGCAAAATTGGGTCAGGCACAGGGGTGACTTGCTTTGCAGACACATTATGACTTGCGACCATAATGGGCAGGCTCCATTATGGTCGCAAGTCGAGGACTATCTGTGTTCCCTTCTCAGGACTGTGACATTGTGGGTTCAAGATCAGGGCTGCTGGAACTCAGCACCTGCAGCAACAGCCTCAGGTGGCTTGCCCTTATGCCCACAATTCCAGATAGTCCTCGATTTACGACCACAATTGATCCCGAGATTTCTGTTGCTACATGAAACAATTGTTAAAGTCAGTTATCTTGCCACAGTTGTTAAATGAATCACGGCGGTTGTTAAGATAAGAACAGAGTTGTTAAGTGAATCTGGCTTCCCCACTGACTTTGTCAGAAGGTTGCAAAAGGAGATCACATGACCTGGAAGAGCCTTGATAGTACAGTGGTCTACGCACCCTGTTATTAAGACAGCTGCCTGCAATTTACTGCTGGTTCGAATCTCTCCAAGGCTCAAGGTTGACTCAGCCTTCCATCCTTTCTAAGGTAGGTGAAATGAGGACCCAGTTTGTGGGGGCAATAAGCTGACTTTGTATAAATATACAAAAGTATGAAGGCTATTGCTTAACGCATTGTAAGCCGCCCTGAGTCTCCGGAGAAGGGCTGCATATAAATCAAATTAAAAAAAAAAAAAAAAGACTGGAACTGTCATAAATATGAGTCAGATGGCTGGACATGCGATAAAGCAAAGAAATACTGGAGTAGGATTCCTATCCAAATACAGAAGAGTCTTAAAGTGAATATTAAGATAAAACCAGAAACGTTTCTTTTGGGTTTAATGGAAAAAGACTTGGAGAAAAAGATTGGGAACTTTGATTTTATATACCCTGTTGCCCCGAAAATAAGACCCAACTGGAAAATAAGTCCTAGCATGATTTTTCAGGATGCTCGTAATAGAAGCCCTACCCCCAAAATAAGCCCCAGCTAAGATTGTCAGCCAGATGGATGCATTTAGTATCGTATTTCTCCAAAAATAAGAATTAACCAGAAAATAAGCCCTAATGCGTCTTTTGGAGCAAAAATTAATATAAGACCTGGTTTTATTTTCGGGAAAACATGGTATGGCAGCAAGATGAATTTATGCACAAGAATGGAAGGACACTTCAATTCCCCCAATGGACGAATGTCTGCTAAAGTTGGTGAAGCAGACATTAGCAGAGATGGCTAAACCAACTGTTTTGATAAAAGAAAAAAAAATGCAAGTAATTTTATTTCTACTTGGAAACCACTTCTGGACTTTATGCTTGAGGAGGGGGAAAAAAATGAAACTTTGAAATGGCTAGTTGATACTGCTATGTAAAAGTAAAAAGTTGAAGTTTGATATTACTATTTTATTTTACTGCACCAAAGGGAGTTGGAAGTCATTGCTTAACGCACTGTAAGCCGCCCTGAGTCTCCGGAGTAGGGCGGCATATAAATCAAATTAAAACAAACAAACAAACCTCCCTTTCTTTCTTTTTCCCTTCTTTTCTGCATTTTCCCCTTTCGTTTTCCCTCCCCTATTTTTCCTACTACCTATTTGTTTTTGTATTTTATACTATAAACTAATAAAAAATAAATATTAAAAAAGATAAATAAATATGACTCAGTTACCAAGCATCTGAATTTTGATCACAGGGATACTGTAAACGGCTGTTAATATGAAAAATGGCCAAAAGTCACTTTTTTCACTGCCGTTGTTAAGTTCTGTCACTAAACGAACCGTTGTAAGTTGAGGACTACCTGTAAAAGTTCTTTTAAAAATGAAAAAACAAATGCAATGCTATGGGGCATTCCCTATATTCCCAATTCTAAGAGGAAGAGGGAAAAAAACCCCCCACAATATACATACACCTGTTTTTTTTAACTCGTGTTTAATTAAGGATATTTATTTAATAACAGCCGCTGTTAATGCATAGGAAATGTGTTAAAGGAAACCCAAAATGAAATTAAAAAAAAAAAAAAGATTCAAAGGGCTGAAACAGCAACTCACTGCTGCAAAAAACTCCCCACAAAACTACTGGATGCATTAAAAAAAACCCAGGTGTGCTGGCAAAATGGTTTCATTCTTCTTAAAATATTGCCTGAGTTTCAGCTGCTGGGTGTCAAATATATTTGGTGGTTTGGCTGGAATAGCTCGGGTAACTTTACTCGGCTATAATTTAATGGGACAGAGACCAAACCACCACCACCCTGCACTTAAGCAGTTATTACACTGCACATTTATCTGACTTTACAATAAAATAGATTACAGCAATTAAGATTATATTAAGATTGCGGTAATTGGATTTTGAGATTTGCCTCCCTGATCTGGGGCTCCCCAACAAGTAAATCAGATGAAAGCGGTGCCATTTGGGGTCTTAAAATAAAAATGTCTATAATTACAATTCCTCTTTCTTCGTGGTTTTACTCTTTGGCGCAACGCTGAAGGTAAAAAGAAACTTTTTAAAAACATCTGTCCTATTTTTCTCCTTGACCCAAATGTCAGTGATGTACCAGAATTAAAAAAAAAAAAAAAGAGAGATTTGCTTTCCAGGATAGCCAAAAAACCTGAGTTCTGAACAAATAATACACACCATGTTCAAAGTGTTGTTTTATCGTTGAGCTGCAGGACACTCAGCTCCAGAAATACTTGTAAATGGTCAAACTCTAAAGAGATGTGAACCTGCCTAGTTTTTTTTTTAAAAAATGGAAGTTTTTAAGATATGGTATAGAGAAGGGGTGTCAAACACAAGGCCCACGGACCAGATATGGCCCGCGATATGGTCGGATCTGGCCCGCGGGGCCGTCCTGGAAAATGTAAGGGTCCATCCCAGTCTACCCAATTCGAAGAGGAAACATCGGGCCAGCATGGCTTCGGCCCGGTCTACCCAATGCGAAGAAACATACCAGCAGTTTGGGGAATGGTGTCAAGTTGGCCACGCCCCCCCAATCGGCCACACCCGCCCAGCCCCCCCAAGGACAATAACAGCCCTGATGCGGTCCTCCATGAAATAGAGTTTGACACCCCTGGTATAGGGTATCCTGCCTAAGCAGGGGGTTGGACTAGAAGACCTCCAAGGTCCCTTCCAACTTTGTTATTCTAAATTCTACTTTAAGGGGAAAAAAAATCATGCCAGCTGATAATGTTTTACCCTCAGCCCTTTAAGTTAGCAAACAGTGATTTGCTTGACAACTGTGGCAAAAAGATCGGAAAATGGGGGAAAACTCACTTTAAAACTCACTTTGCTTAGCAATGGAAATTTTGGGCTCATTTGTGGTTGTAAGATGAAGATTGCCTGCAAAATTGCATGTTAAGCATATAGGCCTGTGATGGTGAACTTATGGCACGCGTGCCACAGGTGACATGGAGAGCCATATCTGTGGACACGCGAGCGTTGCCCTAGCTCAGCTCCAGTGTGCATGCGCGTGCCAGCCAGCTGATTTTCAGGCCTTTCAGGCCCACCGGAAGTTGGGAAACGGGTTGTTTCTGGACTCCGGAGGGCCTCGGGGGGGGGGCGTTTTCGACCTCCCCAGGCTCCAAAAAAGCCTCTGGAGCCTGGGGAGGGTGAAAAATGGGCCTACCGGGCCCAAAGGTAACCTTTTTGCCATCGTGTGCCAAAAGCGGGGGGAGTGCGGGGGATTGCATGCGGATGCGCAGGGCGGGCATTGAATTATGGGTGTGGGCACACACGCACGTGACACCCTCCCCCCCGCACTTCCCCTGCTTTTGGCATGCGACAGCAAAAAAGTTAGCCATCACCGATATAGGCCCATGGGATTCTGCAAAGATTAAAACTGACCAGTTTGTATTTTTCACTGCAATTTTTACAGAGATGCTCATGAACTTTACATAGCACCTAGTCTTCAGAAATTTCCAGGAAGAACAGATAAGCTTTACACTAAACCTTTTTTTAAGATATGCCCATAAGACACAAGGAGTATAGTGAAACACTTGCCTTGTTGCAATGTAAACGCAGGCAGTATTGACCATCAAATTAATATGATCCTTTCTTTCCAATTTACATTTTGTGATTATGCCTTTAACTAAGTGGATTATGACATACTGGTAGTCCTCGTTTAACGAATACTTACTCGGGGATCATTTTAACTTGCAAACGATGAACGAGTGGTTTTTAGGACCAATCCTTGAAATTCTGGTTGTTGCAGTGTCCCTGTGGTCACGCGATTGCGGCTGGCAATTTGGTGCCCAGTTCACAATCACAATGTTGCAGTGCCCTCATGGACATGTGGGAAGAAGCCTCATGGACTTCACTGCCAGCTTTTGACAAGCAGTCAATGGGAAAGCCAGCAGGAGGTCCCAAACGATGAACATGTGACACTGCACTTAAATCACAACACGGGATTCATTCAATGACCGCAATTGGAAGTGCCGTTGCTAAACTCTGCGGTCACATGTGCTTTCAACCGTGTCATTTAATGACAGAAATTCCTGTCCTGGTTGCTATTGTTAACCAAGGACTACTTATATTTATATTTTCTCCTTATTTTTTGTGGTTTCTAATTTACTGCCTGATCCTTGCATGTAGAATAGAATAGAAAAACAGAATTGGAAGGGACCTTGGAGGTCTTCTAGTCCAACCCCCTGCTTAGGCAGGAAACCCTTCACCACTTCAGACAAATGGTTATCCAACATCTTCTTAAAAACTTCCAGGGTTGAAGCATTCACAACTTCTGGAGGCAAATTGTTCCACTGATTAATTGTTCTAGCTGTCAGGAAATTTCTCTTTAGTTCTAAGTTGCTTCTCTCCTTGATCCGTTTCCATCCATTATTCCTTGTCTGGCCTACAGGTGCTTTGGAGAATAGTTTGACTCCCTTTTCTTTGGAGCAGCCCCTGAGATAGTGGAAGACTGCTATCACGTCTCCCCTAGTCCTTCTTTTCGTTAAACTAGACATACCCAGTTCCTGCAACCGTTCTTCATATGTTTTAGCCTGCAGTCTCCTAATCATCTTTGTTGCTCTTCTCTGCTCTCTTTCTAGAGTCTCCACATCTTTTTTACATCGTGGCGACCAGCACACTGCTGGCTGATATTTAAATGATTGAAGATCCCTCTCAGAGTTACTACTATTGAGTGAGGTACCACATATACTTTACCTGTGCGTTTTGTTTTTCTTGCCTAAATGTAGAACCTTACTTTTGTAAGGTTCTTTATATATAAATATATATTCAAAATGTGATCATTTTGTGTACCAACCCTTCTCTGTACTGTAGCAACTCAGAAGCTCAATGTGTGGACAGGATGTCTGGCTGAATGTAAAGTATTTTTCAATCTAAGGGCAATTTCCCTGATTTGAGTAGGAATAGATTCACTTCATGAATCAATCCGTGTAGACGTACCACGTCTGTTTTTTTTAAAGGATATAAACTCCCTGCCTTAAGCTGAAAGATGGACCGCTTGACTTGTATTCTTTGTTCTCAATAAACTGCAGGGTCTGTTTAGAAGTGATAGGGCCCTGGAGCTGATAACGTTTGTGTTATGGGTGACCAGCTGTAGGGAATACACAGTCTGAATCTGCCCCAAGAAGCTTCCAATCAAATACCGTCTTGAATTCTGCATCTTTTCACTTGCGTCGAAAAAAGAGGGAAAGTTTTGCCTTCCAAATTGTGAGCTCAAGTCTACCATCTGCTGCCACCCAATTTTAAAAAAGGCTGCCTGGTCCTGGATTTGTTTCTCTTCCTCTTCATTCATCTCTGCCTCCTTCCCACATCGGCTCTGATGGGGGCTCATAATTAATATCGAAGGCAAGTTAGTATAATAAATAGCAACAACATAAAATATAAAGACAAGCAAATTACCAAGAACGAAGTATGATTCAGTGAGGTAGGGGTGGATGGGAGAGAGTTTTATTCTTATTTATTTTAGGTGGGGTTTTTTTTACCCTGCCTTTATTATTTTTATGAATAACTCAAGGCAGTGAACATACCTAATGTTCCTTCCTAGTTCTGTTTTCCCCACAACAACAACCCTGTAAGGTAAGTTGGGCTGCAAGAATGACTGGCCCAAAGTCACCCAACTGGCTTCCATGCCTAAGGCAGGACTAGAACTCACCGTCTTCTGATGATTGATCCAAAGTCATCAAGCCAGCGTCCGTGCCAAGTTGGGACTAGAACTCACGGTCTCCTGGTGATTGGCCCAAAGTCACCCAACTGGCATTCATACCTAGGCGGGACTAGAACTCACGGTCTCCTGGTGATTGGCCCAAAATCACCCAACTGGCATTCATACCTAAGGCGGGACTAGAACTCACCATCTCCTGGTGATTGGTCCAAAGTCACCCAACTGGCATTCATGCCTAAGGCGGGACTAGAACTCACCGTCTCCTGGTGATTGGCCCAAAGTTACCCAACTGGCATTCATGCCTAAGGCAGGACTAGAACTCACTGTCTCCTGGTGATTGGCCCAAAGTCACCCAACTGGCATTCATACCTAAGGTGGGACTAGAACTCACTGGTCTCCTGGTGATTGGCCCAAAGTCACCCAACTGGCATTCATACCTAAGGTGGGACTAGAACTCACTGTCTCCTGGTGGTTGGACTAAAGTCACCCAGCTGGCTTCCATGCTTAAGGCAGGAATAGAGCTCAATTTGCTGGTTTCTAGCCTAGTGCCTTGGTGGTGCAGTGGACTAAAGTGCAGTGGACTAAAGTGCTGTTAAAGTAGCACTTAGCTGCCAGCTGCCTGCAATTACTGCGAGTTCAAATCTCACCAGGCTCAAGGTTGACTCAGCTGTCCATTCTTTCAAGGTAGGTAAAATGAGGATCCGGTTTGTGGGGGCAATAAGCTGACTTTGTATAAAAAAGAACACCACTTAGGGGGGCCCGAAAGCCCTACTAAGCAGGTATATACAAAAGTATGAAGGCTATTGCTTAACGCATTGTAAGCCCCCCTGAGTCTCTGGAGAAGGGCGGCATATAAACCGAACCAATAAATAAATAAATAAATAAATAAATAAATAAATAAATAAATAATAGTGCTTTAACCACTAGACCTCACTGCTTTTAAAAGCAGAGCCTCCGCAAAAAAAAGGTCTAAAGTGGGAGGATTTACTAAATTTATTTGAGACATATTTGTCAACATTCAACCAAGATGGACAACATATATTTAACATTGGTTTGATATACAGCTAGTCCTTGACTTACAACAGTCCATTTAGTGACCATTCAAAGTTACAACGGCACTGAAAAAAATGACATAATCATTTTTTCACACTTACGACCGTTGCAGCATCCCCATGGTCATGTGATCAAAATGACAGATGCTTTGCAACCGGTTCATATTTATGACCGTTGCAGTATCCCAAGGTCACGTGATCCCCTTTTGCGACCTTCTTACAAGCAAAGTCGATGGGGAAGCCAGATTCACCTAACAACCAGGTTACTAACTTATCGACTGCAGTGATTCACTGAACAACTGTGGCAAGAAAAGTCGTAGAATGGGCCAAAACTCACTTAACCAATGTTTCACTAAACAACAGAAATCTTGGGCTCAATTGTGGTCCTACGGACTTGTATATTGTGCATTATTATTATTATTATTATTATTATTATTATTATTATTATTATTATTATTATTGTCTTGTTTGCAAACTTTGTATTTTTGTTTCTGTGGAGGTTTTTTAACAACTTATTTTTAAAATACATAAAATGTATTAGAAAAAAAAAGGGTCTGAATGCGAGCTATTAGTCGCAGAGCCTCTATCTCTTGTTAAAGGCCTATGACAGGGGTCAGCAACCCACGTCTCTGGAGCCGCATGTGGCTCTTTCAACCCTCTGCTGTGGCTCCCTGTCACCAGTCGGCAAAAGGAAAAAGGATGCCGTCCTAGGAGGAGAGTCTATGGTGGGGGACCCGACTTCCAGTCAGCAGAGGAAAAAGGACTCCATGCTAGGAGGAGACTCTATGGTGGGGGAACCGGCTTCTGGTCGGCAGAGGAAAAAGGATGCCGCGCTAGGAGGAGACTCTATGGTGGGGGAACCGGGCTTCTGGTCAGCAGAGGAAAAAGGATGCCGTCCTAGGAGGAGAGTCTATGGTGGGGGACCCGGACTTCCAGTCAGCAGAGGAAAAAGGACTCCATGCTAGGAGGAGACTCTATGGTGGGGGAACCGGGCTTCTGGTCGGCAGGAGGAAAAAGGATGCCGCGCTAGGAGGAGACTCTATGGTGGGGGAACTGGACCTCTGATTGGCTCCAGAATTGAACGGGGGGCTTCCGGTTAGGACCTTTGTGGCTCTTTTGAGTGTTTAAGGTTGCTGACCCCTGGCCTATGATATCGAAGCACTTACCTGCCCATCGCCACTTGATCATTTGGATCCAAGGAAGTGGTTTTGCGTTCAATAAGTTCCCGGAGCAGCTGGAAGCAAGAAAAAGGGAAATGACGTTGAGAAAGAGCAGATCGAGACAAAGCTGGAAGCCTTTTGAATGGGCAGATAAGAATCATGATGATGGTTTGCATCACGGCTTCTGAAGCTAGGAGCTATGCTTTCCAAGAGCTGTTCTCCTGATTTTTCCTTCTACATTCTAGAGAGAATTGTTCTGAGTTATAGCTTCTCGGTTTAGGAAAACAACTAGCTTATATTCCATTGCTTGACTCTTACAAGCAAATCTGTATTGTTACCTTCTGATGTAGCTAAATGAGGGGATTTGGATCTCTGTCATATATTTACGACCTGGTTCCAAAAATCAGACAGCACCAGCCGTGGGTTTCACATTAGGTTACTACCAGTTCGCCCCGCACACACCTGCTTCGTGCACCCGGCCTTCTGTGCATGCGGCCAGCCTCAAAAATGTGCCTAAATAGGATGGCATAGAGCAGGCCCACCCATAATTTCTGCTACCGGTTCGGGTGAAGTAGTCCAAACCGGCTGAATACCAACTCTGTACAGCACACCCCCTCTGCACATAAACAAAACCATAGCAAATAATGGATTAATTTAACAACCACGGTGTTCACTTAACAACTGCCACACACACAGACACACACAAAAAAAAGCTCACAAAATTGGGTTGGTCATTGGGGTGATCCCCTTTACGATCATGACTTGCAACTGTATCGTTCTTGATTATATTGCAAGCCAGGGTTTGTGAAACTCAGCCTGGAATTTCCTCAGCCGGTTTGTCACCTTTCAAAAAGAATAACAACTAAAACAATGTAGTCTATTTAGCTGAAGAGACATTTTGCAAACGGCTCAGTAAGGTACAAGTCTTCAAGGGTCTCCAACCTTGGCAACGTTAAGACTTGTGGAATTCAACTCCCAGGATTCCCTAGTCGCTAGAAACCAACCTAGAACTCAGGAGAAATTTCCTGACTGTTAGAACAATTAACCAGTGGAACGACTTGTCTCCAGAAGTTGTGTGCGCTCCAACACCGGAGGCTTTTAAGAAGAGATTGGACAGATATTTGACCAAAATGGTATAGGACCGTGATGGCGAACCTATGGCACGTGTGTCACAGGTGGCACGTGGAGCCATATCTGTGGGCATGTGAGCGTTGCCCTAGCTCAGTTCCAATGCGCATGCGCGCGCCAACCAACTAATTTCTGGTCCCACCAAAAGTCAGGAAACAGGCTGTTTCCGGCCTCTGGGGGGCCTCCATAGGCTCCAAAAAAGCCTCAGGAGTCTGGGGAGGGCGGAAAACGGGCCTACCAGGCCATCATGTGCCAAAAGCGAGGAGAGCGCCGGGGGGAGGGGTCGGGATGCATTGAATTATGGGGGTGAGCACGCATACACGTGACCCCCCCTGCTCCCCCCACTTTTGACACGCAATGGCAAAAAGGTTAGCCATCACTGGTATAGGATCTCCCGCTTGAGAAGGGGGTTAGACTAAAAGACCTCAAAAGTCCCTTCCAACTCCATTATTCTGTCATCTCCGGTAGCTTTCGGACATGGTCGTAGATACTCTACACTGAGCTTATTCTTTATTCTGGAGGTTCTGTCAAAAGCATGTCGGATATAAGAACCAGCTTGCCTTCTTCATTCCCTGCCAAGGTATTGAACAAACATGGGATCTCATCTCATAGGAGATGAGAAACTAAGCTATACTGTGGAAACACCGTACAAGCTTATCCAAGACAAGTCTTGAAGCCCTAAAGGAGTTCTCACAAAGAAGAGGAAGTCAACCTATTTTCCAAAGCACATCAAATCAAGAGACAATGGACGGAAACTAATCAAGGAGAGAAGCAACCTGGAATTAAAGAGAAATTTCCTGACAGTGAGGACAATTAACCAGTGGGACAACTTGCCTCCAGAAGTGGTGGATGCTCCAGCACTGGAAGCTTTTAAGAGATTGGACAACCATTTGTCTAAAATGGTATAGGGTTTCCTGCCTGAGCAGGGGGTTAGACTAGAAGACCTCCAAGGTCCCTTCCAACTCTGTTATTCTGTTCTGTTCCAGAGATTCTATGGAGAGTCTCCATCATCCAGGTCATGGTTGTCCCAAAGGTGCTTTTTCAAGAGGCAACTGGACTCAGGAATTCTGGGAGTTGAAGTCCACAATTCATAAAAGGACCCATGGTTCCCCACCCCTGATATAGGGTCTCCCTCTTGAGCAGGGGGTTGGACTAGAAGACCTCCAAGGTCCCTTCCAACTCTTATTATTCTTTATTCTGTCATCTCCAGTAGCTTTCAGCCCTGGTCACAGATACCCTGAAAGGAATCTTAGGCGAGTGGGGAAATCTTTGGTGTGACAGAAAGCGGGAGGGGAAAAAAAAATGAGGAAAGCGGAATCCACTTGGGAATGCAACACAGAACGCCATTAGGAAGACGTATTGTACTACAGTTAATTTCAGGCAAATCAATGAGCGTTGCGGCGTTCCCTTCATCATTTTATGATTAGTTTAATCCGCCCCGTCTATATCAGCTCAGGTCCCTTTGAAAGGTCAGGCAGGAAACACAGGGAGAAAGGTTTGGCGAAGCATCCATCTCTGCCCCGGTGGGGGTGAAATAAGTTAACACGCATTAAATTCCCGAGCGAGAGGATGGGGTGGGGGGGGGATCCTGGATTAGCAGAAGCAGATCAGCTGAGTCAGTGAATGGGTAGGAGATCATAATTGTAGCTCGGGGTTGAACTGTGGGGTCCATGGTGCTCTTATGAGCTTGGTTGTTTTCTTGCAGACGTTTCATGACCGAACTAGGTAACATCATCAGGGCTAAAAAGGAGTGAGGTTTGTTCTCTTGTTTGTAGACCGGTGCTTTGCCCTGTCAAGTGTAGGTAGTCCTCCACTTATAACAGTTCATTTGTTGACTGTTCAAAGTCACAATGGCGCTGACTTAGTGACTTATGACCATCTTTTGCACTTACGACTGTTGCAACGTCCTGTAGGAGTGGCGTAGGAGGCTAATGCCTCCTACTAAGGCAGCATTTAACATCCAGCTGCCTGCAATTACTGCGAGTTCAATTCTCACCAGGCTCAAGGTCGACTCAGCCTTCCATCCTTTCTAAAGGTGGGTAAAATGAGGACCCGGTTTGTGGGGGCAATAAGCTGACTTTGTATAAAATATACAAAAGTATGAAGGCTATTGCTTAACGCATTGTAAGCCGCCCTGAGTCTCCGGAGAAGGGCGGCATATAAAAATAAATAAAAATAAAATAAATAAAAAAATAAATGGTGACGCGATCAAAATTCAGCCGCTTGGCAACCGACAAGTCTGATAAAGTTGCCAAGATTGGAGACCCCCTGCCTTACAGTATCGGCTGCCAACTTTGCCATGCTTTTCAGCCGAGCCCTCTAGGGCTGCTGTTTATAGAGCTCAGCTGTCCTTACATCGGTTTGCTGTGTTACCCAACTGCGTATGGGTGGATTTGGACCTTGTATTTAGCTGCCAAGAGTGGCTGTGATGAAGTGGAGGAGATAGAGTGATAAATTGTGTGCCAGGAAGAGGTGGAAGAATCAATCAGAGAGCCGGCATGGAGGGAGGAAGCTGGTTGGGTTTCCAGGTTTCTCTTCCTAGCCTTTGCGAACAAAATTGTTGTCCCTTTGCACTTAAGAGCCCTGAATATAATTGCTACAGTCATAATAATTTGGTGGTAAAATAAACTGAATAACCATCATGGGATGCTTTTAAAATGGCTGGCTATATTTATTTTTCTTTAAAGAGAAAAATAAACAGAGAACTTAAAGAGGAAGAGTTTTATGGTTTTGCTTTATTAATGTATAATATTTGTTCAGCAAACATTAATGGGTAGAGATGCCAGACTAGTTTCCCCCCCCCCAATCTTAGCAACTTTTAAGATGTATGGACTTCAACTGCCAGAATTCCCTAACTAGCCATACTGGCTAGGGAATTCTGGAAGTTGACGTCCACGCTGGCTGGGGAATCCATGTTGCCTGGGAATTCTGGGAGTTGAAATTGTGCTGGCTGGGTACTCTGTGCAAGTTGGTGAATTCTGGGAATTAAAGTGCACGACTAGGGAGTCCATGCTTGGCTGGGGAATTCTGGGAAATTGAAGTCCATGCATCTTAAAGTTTCCAAGGTTGAGAAAGTTTACTAAGATTTGAATGTTGTGGTCCGCCAGCAGCCTGTGGAGCTGGCAGCGGAGTCAGACAGTGAGGAGGCTGGGGAGGACATGGGCCAATCCTGGAATCTGGGGAAGGCCCGGACAAGGGCTCTGCGTCGGAGGCAGAGATGGGGCCAGGTCCATCTGGGAGTGATGTGCGGACTCCGGAGCCTCCAGAGTTGGACAGCAGAGAGGCAGAGGAACAGGAGGAGCCTGTTCCTAGTGAACGCATGCGCAGAGCTGCCAGAAGGCAAGAACAGCTAAAGCAAAAAGGACGACTCAGGAGTAAGGCCAGGAGATGATTGGCCCCTCCCATAAGGCTTAAAAGAGCAGCAAAGGCTCTTGGGCTCTTTATAGGAAAGCAACGTTGCTAAACCTGTTTTCCAGTCGGCGTCTCTTGTTTCTGAACTTCATGGGGCTTTGCCAAGAAAGGCCTTTGGCAGGGTGCCAAAGAAGATAAAGCTTTGTGATATGCCGAAGGACTTTTTCTGAAGGACTTGTTTTAGAATTTAGAATTTGGACTAAGCTGGGAATGAAGTAATTCTCAGCTGTTATAATAAAATAGTATTTTTTGAGATTGTGTCCTGTAATGACTAAGTGAGCCTAGGTCACAACATTGAATTACAGTTATCAGACAGGGAGCAAAACTATTACTTCTCTCTTGGCCCATCTCACCCCATCATAATTTATTTATATTTATTTATCAAATTTTAAATAGGTTCCTGGAGAATGATCAATAGAGTTATCTATATAGAACCGTGATGGTAAACCTATGGCCCACAGAGCCCTCTCTGTGGGCACGTGCGCTGTCGCCAGCTGCTCTTCCGGGTTCCGGTGAGCACATGCAAGGAGTGACT